ACTTAAGATTTGATATTTCTATACATTTCAAAATGATCTGCACGATAAGTCTAGTTAGGTTATGTCACCATACAAAGATGTTACATAGTTACTGACTATATTCCCCACGCTGTACATTTCATGCTGGAGACTCATTTATTTTGCAACTGTAAGTCTGTACCTGGTCATCTCCCTTAAGTATTTCTCTTCTCCCCAAACCATCCTCCCCTCTGGCAACTACCTGTTTGTTCTCTGAATCTGTTTCTCTTTTGTTATGTTTGTTCATTTGTTTTGTTTTTTAGATTCCACATATTAAGTGAAATCACACTTTGTCTTTGTCTGTCTGACTTATTTCCTTAACGTAATACCCTTTAGGTCTATCCACGTTGTCCCAAATGGCAAGGTTTCATTCTTGCTCTATTGATTTAATTTTAACATTACCTAATATTTATTAATCCGATACTATATATGTCTATGGCAACTGTTCTAAGTACCTACAGGGATATGTAACTATTATTGCAATTTTACAGCTGAGAAAACAGAAGCACACAAGGCCATTAAGAAGCTGGCCTAAGAACACAAAACAATGACTAGTATGTGGTAGAGTGAGGATTTGAAACCAGGCAGTCTGACTCCGGAGTCTTCATTTGTTCATTTAACCACTTTGCTTAAACCACAGGAAGGAATAAGTGGGAGAAGAAACTGACTCCCTAAGTCTCTTCCAGCTCTTTAAAAATGTTTTTTAAAAAGGGAGGGGTAAAAATTAATCCTTACAAAAGATTGTGTTGCTTCACTTCCCCCAAAGTTTTGGATTTCAAATGCAAATATCTGTTTTCTAAGGCGTCACTGTGTTAGAATAAACAACTCCAAAACAACAGACAGAAAACTAGAGCAACTGTGAAGGCACGGCAAAAGGACTCAAACTCACTCTCCGTAGGCACCTTCTCCCAGGGTTTGCACCAAGTCCCAGTCTTCCACAAAGGGCACTGCCATGATTCCATCAAGTGCCACGGCTGTAAAAGGCAGGAACCCAGAAAAGACGGTGGGTGAGGATAAGCTTCAATCATCTGTAAAGCCACGAGCCCTGCCTCTTGCTGTGATTCCTCAAGATAAATTACAGCTCCTGGTTTCCCCTTACGCCTCATCCACATTTTATCCAAATCTTTAAACCACAAGCAAGTATTCTAAACTCTGGCATTTCGTTGGTAAATCACAATCCCCACTCCTACGCAAACGGAAGGCCGAACCCTCGCCTTCCAGCCAGCAGAGGACAAGTACTAGTCGCGTTGGGTAGTTGGGGGGGGGGGGGCTTGTGCTTTACGGTGGGGGCCTGGGGAAGGGGGTGAGAGGTGAGGGCTTGGATCAGAGTAAGGGGAGGCCGGCTAGTGGAGCAGGAAATAATACCTACGACGACCGCAGCCCCTCCTCCCCACTCGCTCACTCCCAATTCCTACCCCCACCCCGTCCCCGAGGCCCGGAGGAGCCCGGGGCGGGGCCAAACTGCCCCCAAGAAGCGGAAGGAAGGGCTGGGTGGCACGCGGACGGCTGGGCCAAACCTCGGGGGCTCCCAGCCAGCAGGGGGGTCGTCTCTCCAGTCCCTGTACGGCAGGGACTCCTGACACCACACTCCTCCCCTCTCCGAAACCGCCCCTCCCCGGGAGTCTCTCCGATCCCCAGGGCTCGGCATCGAGAACTTTCTCTAGCCGTGCCTCTCCTAAGTCGTACAGACGCCGAACTGCGGCTCCAGGCGCCTTTCCCATTCTACCGGCCGCCCCTCCTCACCAGGCCGTCCTCTGCCCGCCACCACAGGAATCCAAATGCAGAGCTTTTCCCGCCAAAACTTGCGGCGTCATACTGTCGCAAACGCACGCCCCGTGCCGTAAAGCAGGGAGGCGTGCGTTCCTGGCCCCGCTGCTCTGCAGACTGGCCGCACCTGGAGCCGGCGCCGACGTTCCGCGCAGGCTCGGGCCGGCCGAGCCCGGGTTACTTTGGAGTCGGAGGAGATCCTGGCTGAAGAGACCTAAGAACAGCCGGCCGCCTCGGTGCGAATGACCTCCGGGCCCAAACGCGGGCCCCGCCCGGCTCTCTGCCCGCCGCCCGACCGACGTCCGAGCACCTCGCCCCGCTGCCTGGCAGGGTTGGGGATCACACTCCATCAGTGTTGCTTCTGTAACTTTATAGCGCGGCCCCGATAAAACTAGAGCCAAGAAGCTAGGAACAGCTGTTGAGAACTGATCCTCTGAAGAATAAAAGGTGGTGGGAGCGAGAAGCATCCAAGACCGACCGCACGGAAGGCGGGTGGGAAGGCATCAGGACGAAGAGAGCTGTTCTTTTGTAGTTTGAAGTAATGTCAGGATGACCAGTTTTGCCTTGTCTTGTCTGAACAGGCTGCAAAACAATACCTCAACCCAAACTTACTGAATAAATGCAGCTACATAGCTTAGTTCTACCTCCTCTCTTATTGGTGTGTACGAAATGGGCAGGCAGAAGGGAAAAAGGTTGCATTTTACGATGCAAATTTTAAAAGCAGAGTAACCAATTTTGGTGGGTAAGTAAATTGTGGGAAGTGGACTAGCTGGAGAACAAACTAATGTGAAAAAATTGAAATAGTTACTCCCCCTTGACAGTGAACTAGACTGGAACTCAAGGCTCAGGCAAAATCATCTCCGTCAAATTCTCAAAACTGGGCCACACACAAACACTGAGCGTAACTGGCTCTTCATTTGTAATAGTGTAAAATATGTTACACAGAAGCGCACAATTTGATTTAAAGAAGCAAAGTCAGGGACAAAAACCAAGACCAGAACATTCTTGAAATGCGTATGTGAGAAGTTTCTAACTATGACGTCACAGCGTAGGCTTCATGTAATAAAGTAAGTTTTCCAGATCATTTACTCCATTTTCTCTAGTTTCTGGCACTGTGTGCTGCAAACAAAGAATATGAAGAAAGGTAGAGGACCTACACAGTTCCTTTGTGTCTGGACAGAATTAAGGGGTAGCTTAGTCTAAAAAAATAAGGTATACACATTTCAGGCTGAAGGGAGAAGAGGTGGACACGATAACCTCTGTTCTCTTCTAAAAGCTTACTAAAATATAGTCAATTTTAACAGTAAATATTAAATTAATAATAGTAAAATTTACTAACTTAAAATAGTAACTTTTTAAAAGGCAGTAACCCACAAACGGTATGAAAAACAAAATTTTTGCTTAGTGGGAAGTCTTTAGATAAGAGATAATTAATTTAAATGAATGAAAGAAGCCTAAAGCCAGCAATGGGAAAGCAGGAAAGCAACTTGATTTATTTACATCAGAGAACTCCCTAAAGGCTGAAGTTGAATTAGTGACAACTGATAATTGAGGTGAAGGTGGGGCTAAAAGACAACAGGCAGGTTGTTGAAAGACTGTATATGAAGCAAACAGACCCTTGGATCCCCTCCCTCCTCTGTGTACCCAAGGAACTGCCCCTCCACAAAGCTGGTACAAGATTTGAGAGGGTAAACACATGGTTATCTGAACTGGAGAGCCTCAGGCACAGTTAAGGCTGGGTATGTTAGTGAAAACAAAGGGATTAAGTTTAACTACTGCACTCAAGGTTGAATCTCTAAGCCTTCTTTCCTCACTTTACTCCCAGAAATCTAGCAACCTGGCTTGTATCCTTAAGAGGACGTTAAAGCTTTCTCGAGGGAACCTTACCTATGTAGACGATCTAAAGATACCAATATCAGGGATCTCCTAATGTAACAAGTCAGCCAGATCACAGGAGAATGAAGCCCACATTCAATAAGCTCCACCCTACCCCAAACAGACCTTCCCATCAGCTTTTTAGGGTCCCACTCTTTAAAAAGAGCAGACAAGCAAGAATTTGAAAAGGACTTTAATATGAAAGATGTCCAAACAAAGGAATACTCAAACAAAAAAAGCTCTTGGACATTAAAAAAAAGATAGCAGAAAAAAAGAAAACTAAATAGATAGGGAAAAAAGTTTAGAAAATCTCCCAGAAGGAAGATTAAAGATGGAAAAAAGAAGAGTAAATTTAAGAATATTGGGAGACTAATCAAAACCCAAATAACTTATTTTTCAACAACAGAAAAGGAGTTGGTGGAATCCACAAATAACTCAAGAAAATTTCCCAGGCAGAAGAATTTGACTTTCAATACTTTCTCTATACAAACTTCTCCAAACTTGAGCTTTCCAAGTTTAAGAGTACCCAGTACAATGGATGACCCATTCTAAGACACATCATTGGTAAATTTTCAAAATATTATATACAAAGAGAATATACTAAGAGGTCTGGGAAGGAAATATTATATACAAAGAGAATATACTAAGAGGTCTGGGAATGGACACATACAAAAAAAATTAAGAATCAGAATAGCATTGCATTTCTCAACATTTAGAACATAGAAAACAATGAGCCAATACCTTCAAAATAATTCTAAGGAAAAGTTATTCCCAACCTGGAACTCCATACCTAGCCAACCTCTGAATCAAGTGACAAGAGACACTCAAGATGTCAGCAAATTTAGCTCCCACACATTTTCTCAGGAAGGTAGTTAGTGGTGATAAATCAACAAAGAAGTCAGGGGATTAACACACAATATGACAGTGAGAGGATACATCAATCCAAGAGGTGTGCAAGAAACCTGGAGAGTAAACCAAATCAGAAAGTACCAAAACAGAAGACATCTCTGAGAATGACTATCCAACGAGTCTGAACATATTAAAAGGAAGCTGGCACAAATGAAGGAGAGTTCAGGGAGAAATTAGTGACAAGCACAAAAACAAATGAAAAAAATCCCTCCAAAAAAAGTTATGGAAGAAAAAAAAGCAACACTGTATCACATGGCCTAGTTGTGAAAAGCCTTAAGGTAAAAACTGCTGAGCTAACCTAAACAGGACAGGACAGTAAGAATATGTGTGTCCATGGGACTAGCAGGATGGTGAGAAAGAGCTAAATCCTCAATCTGCACACCAGAAGGCCAACAGATGACACCTAAAATTGAAAAAATCCAACACATAGCAAAATAAAGCAAGTTATTTAATGACATGCAGGTAAGTAATGTGAGAATCAGCAGAGTTGAAAGTGGGTACCTCTGTGGGATGGAAGACAGTGTTGTTTTTATAGAACTATTTGGTTTTTTTTTACACTAAATGCACTGTAACAATGGAAATGAGAAGTAAATTTCTTTAAACTGTAGCTTCATGTAGCCTAGAAAGTAACAAAATTAAAATTTTAAGAGCAACAACTGTAGTGATAAACCATTATCCCATCTCCTACAGAGGAAAATCACTAATGACCTCTAACTAGTATTACTCATATTGGTCAGAAACAAAACGAACAAAAACCTCAAAATACCTCTTCCACTAGGGAGGAATTCTGTAAATAAACCAAGTCATGTATTTACATACAGTAAATCAAATCTTACATCAAACCTAAGTATCACCCACAGTTGGAGCACCTGGTACATAAACTAGCATGGGAGGCTGTTCCCTGGGTGTCCAGGGAGAGATGGCATACCCTCAGGAGCACCATCTGACTTATCCAAAAGTCCCATCATTGCTCCTGTTTCTTAAACAGGTTAACAGTAAAGAGTTACCTTGTATTCTTTTTTTAATAACTAAGGGTTTATATACATCACCGATACATGTCTTATGTTTTAAAATACATAAAACATCCTACGTAACTGAATGTAAGGCTGTTTGTCCTGACGTTAAATATCGATGATGAGACTCCTGTGCTTTTCTTAACTTACTTAGCAAAGGCTTCAAAACCAGACTATGGAGCTTGTTAGTGATACACAGTAACAAAAAGGCTGAGACTAAGGGGGAGAGAAGCTCACCTTTAAATAACCACACGGTTTTAGTGTGTAAGCTAAAGGATATGAGCAAAGAGACATTTACTGTATCATGGATAAGTGAGAGTTCTGAAAAGCTAGATTTCAAATAGATAGGTATGGTTATACTTCAGCTAATTCAAAAACACCTATTGACCATCAAGTTCTGTATGTAATGCTGAAGGAATTTCTTCCTCTCGTCAAGAATAATTTCACTGTTTGCCTTAAGTCTTCAAAACGACTGATTTAGTCTTACTGGGTTTATTCCTGCTCGAAAACAAAATACCTAGCTAGTCCCAAAGAATACTGGTGAGATCAGGTCTGGCTAGCCACCCTCTGTCCCTTGTAGTCAAAGAGCCTCTAAGGACAGGAAATGTTGATAGCAGATATGATGGCAACACAGCTACCTCTTCTGCCCAGAAATGGCACTCTTCCTGGCCCCACAAATGTTTATTCATTCAGAACAAATTTATTGAGCACCCACCATGTGCAAGGCATCGTGTTAGGTGCTGCAGTTTTTGAAATGACAAAATTGTTTGTATATGTAGGATCTGAGCTAGTCCTTGACAGTCTTCCTGATTTGAGAGAAAAAGACAGAATGCCCCTACCAGGCCCATTCAGGGAGCTAAGAGCATGGGTGAGGTCTGCCCTCCGTCCTTCTCTCAGCCCAGCAGAAACTTTAAGCTTCCTCAAATCAGTCATAAGTCAAAACAAATAAGGCACATTAAAAAAAAAAATTCCCCCCTTTAATTGACCAAAGTAAAGCCATGACATTTCATTTGGTAACCTGCTCAGAAATATAAAAATCATTCCATTTGGCCCAGCCCACACTGCCCAGGGCAAAACGTCCAGACAGTTCTAATTCCATGGTCTTCTGTTCTTATACACTGCATATTTTTAAAATGTCTTCAGCGCCCTAAATGTGACGCGCTCAGTGCGAAGCAGATCAGAGCTGGTCGTAACATTTATGTCCTTGACAAGCCTCGATTATCCAGGTCCTTCACCTACAACATAAAGGTATCAGTTTAATATTTCTAATCACATCACCATGGGAGAGCTTCTCTACTGAGCTGGATTCACCCAGATGGGGAGAGATTATGTTGGATTCTGCTGCCTGTTTTGGTTTCGGGATTAAACGAGCACTGGTTTGAGACCAGCTACTCTCTGCTTAGCCTTGGAGCACCTCTGTGAGGAGCTGTAATATCTACCTTCCAAACAGATCAATGGTTCTCAACCTTCTCTTATGTATGAGATACAACACACTTCTATGTGCCTCTCTATGCCATAAATTCTTCAGTGGGAAGGAAGAAAATGTAGTTTGAACACACACACACACACACACACACACACACACCCTCTCTCTCTCCACACACACACACACACCACCCACCCTCTCCCTCCCTCCCCACAAGCCTGCTAATCACTAACACAGATCAAGTCTAGCCTCAACAGGAGAAATACCACTGCAACCACTGCAACCACAGCCAACTGGGGTGTCTACTCTCTAACAACATAAAGTAAAAAACAGTAAAATTCTGAGTTGCAAGCTACTTTTCAGACATTAAAAAATCCCCGTTTTAGAAACGTGGCCCGCGCTGAGGCGAGGGAGCTGCTTCCACAGTGCACCATCTGCTCACCTTGTATATCCTGACTAGCCAGTGCTCTGTGGTATATGCTTCCTCCAGGACATCAAGTTCAAAGTCTTTATTCCCAATCTCGGCATTCCGAACACGATCATAGCCTGGTGGACGCTCTAGAAAGGGACAAAAAAGGAGACACACTTCTTTCTACAGTGCTGACCCCTAAGGAAATAGTACACCAATCTGATAAATCATCAACCTGGAATGTCATTCCTCAGCTCGCAGTTTGTGTAGAGAGTAGGGACTGCGGAAAAGGACCTCAGGCAGTAAGGGCAAATCAAGTGTTACCCTAACTCCAGTCCTCTCCAAGACGACGCCTGGCAGAGTCCGTGGAGGTTATCTCTTCCAAGAGATACAGGGCTGACCTCCAAGGCCCTCGACTCCTGAGGATCACCACCCAGAGGCCTTTGTGACACACTAGTAACCCTTCCAAGGAACAGAGAAGAACCCATCAGCTGTCGAAGACTTGCATCTGCTTGGAAAAACTGTCCCTACTGCTGAACTAAGAAACTGAAGTCAGAAGGAAAGACTCAACTAATCAAATTACTTTCAATGTATTTATCTGAAGAAATGTAAAGCCCCTCCCCTTTAAATGGAGGTAGTAGGGACTGAGCCCAGGACCTCATGCATGCTAAGCGTGCACACTACCACTGAGCTGTACCCGCCTCCCCCAAGGAACATCAAGTCCTCTGCCTCCCTCTATCCCCCTTCACATTCCTTTCTCCACTACAATAACTTTTCTGAAAGGCAACCAAAAGTAACGGGTAAAAGCACAAAATCTAGAGCCAGGCTGCCTGAGTTTAACCTGATTCTGCGCTAGTTATTTGACTCTGGGCTGTTATGGAACCTGTTTGTACCTCAATTTCCTCATATATAAAAAGGGAATACTATTAGTATCCATCTTTTGGACTGTTGTGAGGGTTAAATGAATTAATAGGTATAAAGCACTCAGAGCAGTGTCTGGCATATAAAAACCACTCGACATGTTAGCTATTCCTGTTGTTATTATTACTAGAGTCACTCACTGGCCTCCGTGTAGACCTGTCCAAAGCGGTAGTAACACATCTTGTACATAAGGCAGTTCAGCAGCACGGGAGAACCCTCGCGGTCCACACGGAACTCCCCAGTTGGAGTGTAATAATCATGCTCCTTGATATGTTTGCCTGTATCTGTGCTCCCTCCAATCCGGACCATCCACAGGAATTTGTTGATGTCTAGAAAAATAAAGAAAAAGAAAAAACTGCTGCATTACAAAGGCTGCTGGAGTTAAATCATCTAATGGAAGGCCACTATTTCTAAGAAAACTCCCCCTGGTATTTCCCCAGTGGAGTGCAGTACCATTTAGTTCTAATTTACAGAAATTAGAAAGTTAATGTACGGCCAAAACTTCTTCAGCTTTTTCTATAGATTTTCCTATAGACTCCTGAAATCCTATGCTATTGGCCCATACTTATGTCACAACTGTAATTAGTCCCAGATATTAGCTGGGGCTGAGCTGTCCAATATATCAGCTACTGGCCACATGTAGCTACTGACATGTGAAATATGGCTAGTCCAAATTAAGATGTGCTGTAAGTATAAAATACACACTGGCTTTCTAAGACTTAGCCCCAAATAAAACAAAATAAAACGGGTAAAATATCTTGGTTACATATTAACGTAATGTCTTAGATGTATTCAGTTAAATAAAATTATTAAGTTCACTGCCCCTGTTTCTTTTTACTTATCTTGATGTGGCTAACAGGAAATTTTAAATGACACGTGGCTCCCATTATATTTCTATTGGACAACACTGACCCAGGGAGGAGTAGCTTTACCAGAAAGGTATAGAAGACAGAACGTATTCCCTCTTGACCTACAGTTGCAAATTTACAAACCTCTGAAGCACACCTGTGAGATGTCAACATTTCTATGTCACACACACAACCAGGCTCCATAATTACTGACACCACCATCAACTCAGGTTATCTCTTAGAATATGTCACTCCCTGTATCTCCTCCACATGCTTCAGGGAAATGAACAGTTAGCAGAAGCAGCATCATTGATCTGTAAGAAAACAAGATCCCTACTGTCCTACCATAAAGAGTTCCAGGGAAATCACAGTGGTTAAGAACACAGACTCTGGATCTAAACTGTCTGGGTTTAAATTCTAGCACTGCCAATTCTAGGTGGGTGACCTTGAGCAGGTTACTGAAACTCTCTGTGCTTCAGTTTCCTCATCTGTCAAATTAGAAAAATAAGGGTATCTGCAATAGGGCTGCTTGAGCATTATGAGTAGGAGCGTGTTACCTTACATATTGCTTGTCACATAGTAAGTATTCAATAAATATTATTATGCTCATGTAGTGTCTACAGTCTTACCTCCATCTTTCAAA